CACCATAGGGTTGAGAATTTCAATTTCTATTAGTAGTTTTTTATTTCAAAAAAAAGAAATGATAAAAATCGCCTTGTCTCGGAAACCTAAAGAATTTGAGCAGTCATATTTGGAAGAAAGATTTACAACCCTTGAGAACACCCTGACAGCACACTACCATAGGGTTGAGAATTTTAGGTACGGTGAGTTATTCTATATGTTTTTAAAAAAAAACTGAAAAAATGATAAAAACGCCCTATCTCGAAAACCAAAAAAAACTTGAGCAGTCATGCTTAGACGCCACCATTACAAACATTGAGTGCACCCTGACAGCACACCAGTATAAGATTGAGAATTTCATTTTCGGTTAGTTTTTTTATATCTAAGTTTTTTGAAAAAAAAAATTGAAAAAATCATGAAAAACGCCATATATTGAACATCAAAAGGATTTCAGCAGGCAGATTTGCAACCTCTGATTGTAACCTGGGACCACCCCTTTAAAGGGTTGAAAATTTCAAATTAAGTTGAATAAATTTTAAAAAAATTGATAGTTATAGGTTGCGAATGTAGGAAAAACGTAGCTAGAGCATTCGCACTCCAACAGATAATGAAATGTGTCGGCTTGAGAAAACATTTCAACCCCTGCAACGTTTTGGCCTTTTAACAGACCAATATAGCGACTTCTTAACCATGAGTCAAGCCAAATTTCTACAGCATTACAATTTCGAATGCATTACAATGACAGCTCAAATGTTCAAAAAAATCTTTCGTTAAACATGCCAAAAATGGTGCGTTGAAAAAACTTGAACATGCCATTATTATGGCTTCTTAAACATGTGCCAAATGAAGCGCCAACTTAACAATGCATAGATTGGCAAAATAGATTGCAAACTCTTAAAATGACAGAATGCCAAAAAAAACAACACCCGAAATGTTCAAATGTTTGTTTCAACCTGAAAATCTTTTTAATGAAAACATGTGGCAGAACAAAACAGCCAGTATTGAACTAGCTTGAAAAACTTTGAACTGCGCTCCAATATAGCCGGCGGAAAAAAACAGTCAAAAAATTTTCAGAAAAATTGACTTGAAAAAATTACTTGATAATATAACTTTTTTAACATTAGAAAAACTACAGCTTCAAAAACTTCATGGTTGTATCAGATGACGTTCATAAACAGCCTGAAAAAATTGGAAATCATTCAACGAGCGGCAGAAAAGGCGACAAAGTTTGGGTCGAAACCTGTTGAGCCAAAACAAAAACAGTTTCATGAAATTTTAAAATTTTTTAACGACCCATCCATACTGAAGCACTTAATCTTATACCAAAATATTTTGTCCTAAAAAAATAAAGCAATATAAAATGACAAGGATGAAATCACAATCTGCTGGAATATTAGAAAAAAAAATTACGCAAAATCAGACTTGGTAAATTTACCAACTACTGAACTTTCAGTTATAGTACAGAAGTTGAAAAGTTATCCATTGAAAACCCTTTAGAAAAAAACATGTGCGTTTAAAAAAACGGAAAATGAACCCACAGAAACTAGGACGAAAACCACGAGTCTGAAAATTGAGAAACTTTTTTTGAAAAATTAATAGCAAACTGATACAAACTTTACCTAATTACTGCTGAAATGATGATAGTTTTATTTAAATTTCTAGATTTTGAGCATGTCAGAAGTAAAATTAACCATTCCTACTAAAATGAATATTCTGTGAACACAGTTGTTTACGGGAAAAAAGTCTAGTACCTGATTGCAATATCCTTGCTTATCGCAAGGGTAAAAAAGGACGCTAAAAAGCCGACAGCATATCTAGGCAATTTGAAGGTTTTAATCAATCAAATTTGAAACAGGGCAGATTTTCAATTCCTGGGTGTATCCTGACAGCATCCGAAATCAGTGTTGCGAATTTCAAGTTTTTTTCAAATCTACGTTTTTTCATGATAGAGGAAATCATAAAGAAAAATAATCGAGCAGTAAAAAATAGAAGCCCGATTTGCAATCCCTGAGTGCACACTGACAGCAGCCCGATATACGCTTTAAAAAATTTCAAGTGTTAAGTTTTTTTTAACGGAAAGACCATGAAAAACGCCAAATCCCGAAAACCAGATTTAAAAACACAAAATTGCAGAGAAGGTTTGCTTCTTCACAACTTGGGGACTTCGTTAACACTTGTAAGTAGAATTTCCTTGGCATAGCACATAGAGCCAAAACTGCGCTCCGTAAACACTAGCAAGAAAACAGAAACGCAGCTCTATAAAATAAACTAGAAAAGGTAAAAAGAAGCGTTGAAATTTAAAATTTGCTGCGGCGGATTCAATTTTATGACCAGGAGATGTAGAATACTCTGTTATCGCAACTGCACCAAGGGCCATTAAATATTTACTAACATCAGACACCAATAATTCAGCTACATTTGCTAATAAATTGCCAAAGCAATGCAGCAAAAGTGGCGCCATATACAAACAGGCCAAGTACAAATTCTGAAATCAAGTTTCTATTTTTGTACTAGTAATAAATTGCTTTTTTCGGTTCATTTGATGAATTAAAAACGCATCAATTGTGTTACTAATTTACTAACAACTAATCGAAAGTCAAGGAAAACACCATCAAAAAGCCTTGAACGAGCCACCAACCAAAAGTGGCACCATTATTTTCGACCCGCGCCAATAATTTGCTGCATAAATTGCCAAAGCCATGCAGCAACAATTGCACCAAATACAAATCGACACAATTTTGTATGTTGAAAAAATTTGAAAGCATTAAGACAAATTATGTATAAAATATTCTTTTCAAAAAAACTGCGAGATATATTGAAAGGTAAAAATCGGAAATCAAATTTTTATTTTTGTACTGGTTATAAATTGCTTTTTTCGGTTCATTTGTTAAACCAAAAATGCATCAATTGTGTTACTAATTTACTAACAACTAATCGAAGCTAAAAGAAAAGACCATCAAAAAGCCTTGAACGAGCCACCATAATTTTCGACTCAGGTTGTAAAAAAAAAGAATAGTCTAACTATTACACTACACACAGCTTAAACGTGCAGAAATTCTTTCGTAAAACATGCAAAATTAAAACGTTGAAAGCTTAAAAATGTCACTATAGGTACATCTTAAACATGTATTAAGTGAGACGCCATAGATCGATGGTTTAAGAAACTATGAAATTTAGTGATGGAAACGAAGCCTTAAAGCTTGAAAATGAAAGCACAAATGTAATCAATCTCCTGGGGCATATGTTTTTTCCTTTACAATTCAACTACGACTGAACTTCACCATTTGATTAATAAATTGGAAAAACAGGAAGCAATAAATGAGCGTTAAAAAGCAGATACCGCTCAATCTGTTTTAAATGTCGGTTGGTCGGTTCTCATAAAATGTTGGTTACGGGCCTTTTTACCGGCTTAAATTTGTGTTTATTTGAGTTGGGGATTTCTTTACAGAGTTTTTATTTCTTTGTTGAAACGCAGCATTATGTGTGTCTTGATGTTTAGAGAATGTTTTCACATATATCTTTTTAAAACTAGAAAAACTAAAATAACCCTACAAAAATCACATAAAAAGCATTTTAACACTTTGTACAAAAAAGGTAGCATAAAACTTCTGAGAAAAACAGAGCAAAAGAAATACTCTGTTTTCATTTCATTAACAACTCTTTTAATTCACTGCAAATTTCCGCACAGAAGAGGTGGATCTTCGTACCACTTGCGAAACTACGCACACATGTCATTGCAAGATGACAGAAAAAATATAGCCAACAGAAAGTTGGAAAAGTGCCAATAAACGCAACCCTGCATGTTCGAAAATTGACATTTCTTTGAGCTCATTGACAATTTTCCAACTTGCGAATATCAGAGATGAGCAAAGATGGCCTTAAATCTCGTGAATTTTAATAACAACTTCTAATAGACAATTTTTTGATAAAATTATTCCAATTTGAGAAAACTGAATAAAAAAGTAATGCTGAATAATCTGAAAAACAAATCAAAATTTGCAGCCGATCACGTTTTTCAGGACTTTAACTTTTCATAATAGCCTAACTTTTAGCAAATGAATGTGGAAAAATTCAAAAGTGCAGATTTATCTAAAAGCATTCATAAATGCATTAATATGTATTTCTTTGGTTATTGGAGCTTCTTTAGTTATTGGAGCATTGTAAGCCTTTTTCTGGATCAAAAACAAAGAAATCACCAAAACCTATACGATAGTCTTCACTATGTTCATTGATTCTTCAAAAAAACGGTCGTCGAAATTTTTTTTTTAAATGTCGAGAAAAAAGAAAAAAAAACTTAACTTTATAATTCTTCTTCGTAATTAGTATTCAGAAAAAATTTGCAGGCGGCAATCAAAGCAAAAAAACTTGGGTAAACTCTCGCTGAACCGAAAACAAAATTGTTGTCATGAAAAACTTAGAGCTTTCAAGTTCTAAAATTGTAAGATTCTTAATTTTTTGCGTGTTTCCGGAGGGGGGTGTAAACATAAGATTTTCCTTAGAACGGACAGCAAGCTGATAAAACATAAGCCGAAACCATTTAGGATATACAGAGTTAGCAATTTTACAAATCAAAAACACTTGCAACAACAATGAATATTGCTTACAGCCCAAGAATATTCCATGATGCGTCAACTAAGTCGATGAACAATAGACTGACAAGTTTATTGAATGGGAAAATTTTCAGTTTAAAAAAATACCAGACCATGGACGGATTTGAAGCTAGAACCTTTGCCGTCCCAGGCGTAGCCATTAGTTATAGGCCAAGTGTGCTGGATGGAGCCAAAGAGTACTAATATAACCTCTTAAGTATACCATATAAGCGGTATCTCCAAGAGTTTAATTTGAACTTTCAAGAATCTGAGCCTGTCAGCTGTTAAAGCAGTTGTTACCCCCGAAAAAAAGTCAAAACTACGATTTGACAAGGCTCGCCAATCGCAAGTGTAAAACTGAGCTTCAATTTTTTTGTTGTTACCATTCTGGCTTTAGCCAAACCACCAAAGCCGCAACCATAAAGATTACAAATGAAACCAGGACCCCACCCTCCCAATGCTACCGTTTCTAATTTCATTCGTACCAGTTTGTTTTATTTTTGTTGGATTTCTAATCAGAAGAAAACAATAACCAATTTGAGTTTCAATTTAACCAGCTTTCTAATCAAATTTACCATCATCGTCAGTTTTCCAATTATAATCGTCATTACTCGAATCGGCAAAACTGAAACTATCGTTATTATCTTCCTTCAACCTATATCGCTTGTGTGGCTTCAAGGTTTCCTTATCATGACCGGTAAGTGCAAATTTCCCTGTAAACCCACTTTGAGCCCCGTCCGCTCTTCGATATTTCAACTTGTAGCCTTCATTATATGGTTCTACATTGACGTTCGCATACGGATTATTCTCGTATCTATTTTTTCTCGGTGGTTGAAAGTAATTCGTCCTTGGGTGGCTTACATTTGAAAAACTTTGATTTGGATATTTCTTCGAGTTCTGATATCTGCTATTAGTGGTGTACCCATCGAAGTTAGAAGGTTCCCTGTCATAACTATTGAGTGTCCCATTTTCTCGATCAGTAGTGTAAATGGATTCAGAATCAGAATGAGTCTCACCTTTTCGCCATTTTCCTCGATTTTTACTGGGGTTGTAGTTAAAATTGCGATATCCAATATTAGATCTTGAATTGTTTTCATCATGACCGCCAAATTGGGTTCGTTTTTGTTTCCGGTAATCATCGTTATTTGGCCGATAATCGTTTCCCCATTGGTACCTACTTGCACTCGAACCGCTATATTTTTGATTATGTTCGTTTCGATTAATTAACTGGTTATTATAACCGATAGACAAACCTTTCGCCGAATCTTCAGTTCTCGGTACTAAAGACTTGCCTATCATTGAAATCACCGAGGCTATCATTGAATACCCAAACTCAGTAAATTTGAAGTCATTACCACGTTCGAAAAATAAGGATTGACAAATTGTACCTTTTACACTAAAAGCCGAATTCAAAGAGTAGTGCACTATTTTTGACTTGGACACAACGGGATTTTCAGCACAGAATTCTGAAATTATATCGATGACTTTCTGGCTGTCCTCTAAAACTTGCTCTGGGTCTTGGCCAATAAAGTTCTCGAAGCATTTTGGCACAATCGGACTCAAAATTACCACATACTTTGGTTCAAACTTCTCAACGATATTTTCAATCAAGGCTTGTAAATGCTTTCTTTGAGTTTCCTCGTTGACTCTTAAAATACCTCCTGGAAAAATCTGCAGCGCCAGGTAAACAGTTTCAAGAGTCAAATAGAGGTCACATTTATCAACAGCAGTTGCTAATGTGGCGTAATCTCGAGCGTATAAGTTCTGCTCGTTACATTGGTACACCCACCCTTTCAAGAAGAAGTTTGACTTCGGCGCCGCAAAGTTGGAAATGAGCAGACTCCTGGTTCTTTGAGTGTTGATACCCGTAATCTCTGGAACTTCTCCATCGCAGACAAGCCAGGATTGGTCATCATTAAACCCTATCCTTTTCGGTGCATGAATTTCTCTATCGTTTTCGATGTTTTCAAATGGCTCATTTATACTATCTCTTTGATCACGTTGCTCCGAAAACTTACCCGATTCCGAGTCTCCGCTAACTTCTGTGTCTCGATGATGCTTCAGATTAGATTCATTCGTCTCTCTGTCCATTTGGAAGATGCGATCAAACATAGACTCGTCGTTTATTGGCCGCTGCCATGAGCTCTCATTGGAGACGTTTCTCCGCGACATTTCAGAATTTGGATCTAAATAAATAATTTTCCAAATCAACGAAGAAGCCAACTCAATGACCCTTTTTGCAATTTTGTTTTCATATTAATCACGCGGTGGTTATGCGTAATCGAAAGGCCACATACTCGGATAGATAGCCTAATTCTTCCAACGGGACACAAAATAGCCTCAAAACTGGGATGGCTTTTTCGCATCAAAAACTGAAATTTTTTAAGTTCTCTTGTCACGCAATTTTGTGACTAATTAGGGAAACGGGAGAGGTCAGTTGGTTACCTTAGAAAAAAAAACTTGGTTTCAAACAAAAATTAACATGACTGATAAGGTTTTGATATCCTAACAGCTTTTTTTAGTTACATTCCTTTTTGAATTACGGTTACCTCCCACTTCGTACTGAAAATTCTTAAACCCAGCCATCAGACGGTTGAAAAAGAACGCAAAACATAATAATAATAATAATATTTAATTCAGTTGATGATTATTACAATACAATATGTATATTTACAATCATCAACAAGGATTGTCTAAAAAGCCTACGGCTTATCTAGTAGACAACCTTAAGCTCAAACATCAATGACAATACAGCTGTTTATGAACTTCCTTATTATCAAGCAGATAATTATCAAAAACATCGTGTATAAAAATCTTGAGTTGATGTCTCTGCAAACTTGTCACATCTTCATTCAATAAACCAGATGCAGTTATATAATTATGAATAATGGTTCTTCTAACATTTATGGAATTTTGAAAACATTTCGTTCTTTGTATTTTACTATTAACTTTTCCAGAAGCAACTCTCCTAGTGAAGTACGCCACGTTATTAGTCGTGGTACTATCACAAACATTATTGTAGCAAATATCTTTAAACAGTTCGTAAACGTGAAGATCAAACACCGTTTCAATTTTATGCAGTCTGTACTTTTCAACTGTGCTCTCTCTATAATCAATTCTAAAAATAGCACGTATTATTCTCTTCTGTATTACTAAAATTTTATTTAGATCTGTTAAGTTTGCACAGCCATAAACCAATACGCCATATTGAAGAACAGGTTTGATGTAGGATCTGTATATCAGTAGAAGCATTGGAATATTAAATAATTTTCTGGAACGATATATTACTCCACACAGTTTAGACAATTTCTTAATAACATGTTCAATATGCATCTTGAAGTCTAACTTTGAATCAATGTAGATACCCAAATACTTCGTGCAATCAACCATTTTTATGCATTCACCTTTTATATCAAGACCAATTTCTCCATTTTTCTTGCTGAAATTGAGCAGAACAGTTTTATCAGTATTCAGTGAAAGTTTATTGCAACATAAGTAATTGTAAACTTTGTCAAATTCGGTTCTTAATTTCTTTCCAGAATTCTTACCAGAAGTCATGATGGATGTATCATCTGCAAAAAGTGTAGTATCTAAACTAGTGCTATCAGGTAAATCATTTATGTAAATCAAAAACAGAAGCGGACCTAGAACAGATCCTTGTGGAACTCCCGTTGAAACATTTTCAAGCGTCGATCTATTATTTCCAATTTCAACATACTGCTTTCTATTAGTCAAGTAGGCTCTAATCAAATTGTTACTTTTACCCCTGATCCCATAATGATCCAATTTTTGCATCAAAATTTTGTGATCAATCGTGTCAAAAGCTTTCTTGAGATCCAAAAACAAAGCAATTGCATCCGCTCTTTTATTAGTAGCATCTCTTACAAATTCGGTCAGCCTCGCAACAGCCTGAATCGTAGATCGCTTAGATCGAAAACCATATTGGTTCATGTTTAAAATAGAAAATTTCTCAAAAAAATTTATGAACCTCGAATGTATAAGTTTCTCAACGACTTTGCTCAGGCAAGACAACAGCGAAATTGGTCTGTAATTACTAGGATCTGTTTTATCTCCATCTTTGAACATAGGGACCACTTTGGCAATTTTCAGTAAGTCTGGGAAAACATCAAGGTGAATGCATTCGTTAAAAATATCGGATATTAATGGTGCAATTACCACTCCTAACTGCCTGATGATTTCATTGCAAATATCATCAGGTCCACATGAGAACTTACTTTTAAGGCTATTGATAACATCTAGAACTTCTCTGTGGTTAGTTTCAAACATTACCATTGATTTCACTTGTTTTGGCGATCTACATATCGGTACTGATGAGTAAGGTATTTGCGATGCAATTTTCGACCCAATGTTACAGAAAAAAGTATTCAATTTCTTCGCATCAATATGTGTCGTTGTGTTATTCCCGGTCTTTCCTATTCCTACATTTTTAAAAATCTTAAATAAATCTTTACTGTTAGTCACCTTTTCCACTTTTTTAGTATAAAAGTTCCGTTTCTCTAATCGCAGCAAGGCGTTTACTTTATTGCGAATGATTTTATAATTGACATGCGTTTCAGTCGACCAGCAGGCCTGTAGTTGGCGAAGAAGTCTATCTCGTTTAAAAATTAGTTTTCTAATTTCTGGAGTTATCCATTGTGATTTCACTTTTCGTTTTTTACCATATACTTTTAATGGAGCGAATACATCTAGGCAATCGATAATTGTTTTAATCAGAAACTCAACTTTTTCATCACATGTTCCTTCCGGTACATTTTTTAACAGGTAGTTCACATCTGCTAAAAACAATATTTTTTCGGTTGATTTTTTTAGAAAAGACAGATTACGAAAAGTCAAGTTATCATCTATGTTTGACACCACGTTAATATCGGCGAAGATAATATTGTGATCACTAATACCAGAAATTACATTATGTGTTGCAACAGGAAAATTTGAAATTATATGATCAATGCAAGTACTACTACGGTTAGTAACGCGCGTTGCTTCGTTGGCGTTATTTATAACAAAATTGTAACTTTTACTTAAATTTTTCAACCCTTTTGAGCAACTATTTTCAACCAGTGTATCAATATTAGAATCCCCAACGAACATTGTTTTTGAATTTACCATCGTTTCAAAGTTGCGTTCCAGAAAACTATAAAAATGATCGATATTTATATTGGGCGGACGATAAAATACGCAAATGTTTGTTGAAGATAGAGATCCTTTTTTAAGTCTAATACACAATGCCTCAATCCCATTTTCGCAAACAATATTTTCATTTATAATAAAGTCAATGCCAGTCTTAACATAAAAAGCAACACCCCCTCCCCTTTTATTGGTTCTACATCTAGAAACTATCGGTTGAAATCCCGGAATATTGTACATTGCCAATGGGTCTGTTTCAGTTAGCCAAGTTTCCGAAAGGCAGATAATCGATAGGTTTTCGTTATAAGTTTCAATAAATCCCACTAAATTGTCAAAATTGCATCGCAAGGATCTTATATTTAGAAAAAGAAGTGTTTTATCAGCTGGCAAAGTCATCGATTAGATTTTTTTAAAATGCTAAGTATCAGTAGGTTCGATCTCACCCGCGTCCTCCTGCTCTATCACATTGACCGGCGCTTTTGCCATTTTTCCAGGTGGTGAGCTTACCACTGCGATTACATTTTCAATTAGACCACACAATTTGTCAGTTTATCTTCCATATCAACGTTCTCTCGTTGCCTCTTCTCCCCTCTAGGTTTTCCATACAATGCATATTTGTTTTTCGCAGTACCATGTTTCATTTGGAATAACTCATTTCTGGAATAAGAAGACTCGTCGATTATCTGTGTATTTCCCTGAATTCCTGTATCCATTTTGTTACCATCTAATTCTTCCGAAAATCCGCTGGCAACTTTGTCAATCTCACCGCGACTGTTAACTGGAACCCATTTATTATTTATTCTGAGAAGTGGTTGACAATTGTTTGTTTTAAATTTCAAACCTTTCTCTTTTGCATAATTCACTGTATCTCGGTCAATTTCGGATCCACGCCGGATTTCACGCCAAGAAATGTCAAACATGATCGTGATAAATATCGTTCAGAGCAAAGTACACGGTTTTGAATAATTACATTGTCTTTGCGCAGTTGAGAATTTTCATACTTGAGATGCCCGATAGTATTGTCCAATGTCTCCATTCGGTGAATAAAGCTTTCGAATAATCCTTTCACTTCTTCTGGGTTTGATAAATTGGCATTCTCTAGGTGTGCACGCAATAATGCCATTTCTGCCATGTGAATACAGCGATGTGATGTCGTAAGAGAACGCGAAGCAAATCGTACTAATCTTAGTTCATTTCGTCTGAAACTATTTAATAAGTTTATCACAACAATTAGGCTAACAACAAAACAACACTGACTAGTTTTTTGAAAAACTTCAACTTCCGAAGAAAAAATAGATGGCCTTGAAGCTCTTTGAATTTCTAGAACACATTATGATTATCACTGTTTTGATAAAATCACCCAATATGACAAAACTGGATCAATATGTTGATTTTTTATTTGGCGGGGAAATCTGATTAAAAAAAATCATGTTCAAAATAATAAGTCGATCACGTTTTTCGTGATCTTTACATTTCCTTTTAACAATAGAAATAAACTACACTTGAAATGAAAAGAATTCAACAGTCAAATCGCGAAAAAAAAATCATCATGACCTATATAAAAGCCAAAAAATCTCTAATATTCTTTAAAAAACCTCTAAAAACTCTATATCTAGAAAAGATCTCGACTCTAAAAAATCTATACGGAAGAAAACCATTCAAGTTTGAGTTTTTGATTAGAAGATCAGCGACCATTATAATTTTTGGACTCAAATAAAAAATGACAAACATTTCAGAGAACGCAAAAATCATATTATTTTGTCTGCTTATGAAACTTGACTCAATAATTTAGCTTGAATAAGCTGACCCCACTTAACCTTTTAAAACTAAAAATTATTTTGGACTAAATGACTGCTTACCGACTCCTCATAATTTTAGATGTTAAATTAACCCACGCCCTCCTCGCCATTAAATGAACTCAGGGGTATTCGGACATTTAGATCGACCAGCTTTAGAGACCAGCTTTGCATGACAAAAAAATAAACGCCGACAATTTAGCCAGTTGGTTCAGTTCGCAATAAGTTATTCCATGTTATCCTAT